GGGGCGGTAGCCCCCCAGTTTTTTGGGCAGTCGGGCAATATTCGATCAACAGTCGGGCAATTTCGGTTTGCAATAAAAAAAAATGGGACAAATTCTCGCCAAAATAATTTTTCCGGAAAAAATTTTTTGGTACTAGTCGGGCAGAATCCCGAAAAGTCGGGCAATTTTCTTTCCGCCCCCCTAATTTTTTCCTTTCGGTACGCCCATGCCGCCAAGTGCTCCGTTTTCATCTCGTTTCGTTTCGAAACCGTCCTCAAATTGTTCAATACATCCTTCTTCATTTGTATGATGTATATCATCATCCGGTTATCCTTGAATCTATGACTATGATGTTATCATCATATCATCATATACAGACACACTGATAACCAGACCCTCACCCCCCGCCCCACACTCTAACCCTTACTAACCTTGAGGCACCTAACCCATCGGTTCCCCTCACCCTGAACTAATAAAGTATATTATACAAGTTGTAAGCTTGTCACCAAGTTGTAAATTAGCAAACATTAATATTAGAGTGCCATGAATCTTAGTCGAGACGTTTAAACGGCGTAAACTCAAAACTAATTTTTTAAATCGAGCATTTTATTAACGTTAGCCTTTTGGACTCGAAAAGTACGAACACGATATACTTAGATAACCTGCTCGGTGCCCGAAGTTTTGTATTCTGTATGATCTTGACCCTGATTTTTTTTGTAACAATCTTGTAACATTAAGTGCACTGCAGGCATTATGGGAACTTTTTTTATATAGACACGTGATATAGAATACGAGTAATTTAATTGGCTAAAATTCAAGAATTGTTAATACAGTTCTGTTGTACATTTTCTTCTAGGTTCATCAGAGAGCTAAAGAATGTATGCAAACTTTGAATTTTCTCGAGCAGTTAAACGAAGGGCAACCGCCCAAGAATTTATTAGGAGCAGAATTTGATAGCCCCCAGTTTAAGGTATAAGGATTCAATAGAATGTAATTTACGATTTGGTAAAAATGTATCTTCATGCATTGAGTACAAAAAACAACAGATTATGTTTTTGCTTTTGCAACGGTATTTAATCACGCAAGAACATGCATTCTCAAGGTTTTTTAGGAACCAGTGTCGTATGTGGTTATTAATTGCCTAAATTTCTGGCTGGTGGTTCTTACTTAATAATCTGTAAATAGCTTTCACATTTTCTCTCTTTCTTTTAACTATAATACTTATTGTAATATATTTTAAATTTGGTTGACTGTATAGTCTGTAGTTAGAACTGGCATCTAAATTTTATATCTATAGGTGTCTTAAATAAAAGCCTGTTAAGGTTTCTGGTAGGCCCCTACCATAACATTAATCTAATTTTTTTTTTAATGTAAATATTTATATGTTATAATATATGGGCAATAAAAGGAAAAAAATCTTCCCTGACAGGACAGACTAGACCTTGATAAAGTTTCAATCATGGGACATTCATTTGGAGGAGTGACAACAATCGCAACGCTTGCGAAGGATAAACGATTTAAGTAAGTTGTTTTGTGGCATAAACGACAAAACTAACATAAAACTTTGCACCAAGGTTATTGTGACGTCTAGTGGGATATCTCTAAGGAAGGTCGCCCAAAAGGGCGATGTAATATGGATATGAACACCTCTCTAATACGGAAACCTCTTTAATACGGACACCTCTTTAATACGGACACCTCTCTAACACGGAAACGTCTCTAATACGGACATCTCTCTAATACAGACACCTCTCTAATTCAAACACCTCCCTAATACGGACACGTCTCTAACACGGAAACGTCTCTAATACGGATCTCTCTCTAATACAGACACCTCTCTAATTCAGACACCTCTCTAATACGGACACGTCTCTAATACGGACACCTTTCCAACATGGACATCTCTCTAATACAGACACATCTCTAATACAGAAGGACACCTCTCTAATATGGAAGGACACCTCTCTAATACAGGCACCTCTCTAATAAGGACATCGCTCTAATACGGACGCCTCTCTAATACGGAAGGACACCTCTCTAATACGTACACCTCTCTACGTCTCGTAATTCACTGTCGGTTACTATTCATTACTTATTCCTGTTATTTTACATTATAGATGTGGTATTGCAATGGATGCTTGGATGTTTCCACTGGGAGATGAGCTATATCATCATACAGTGAGTCAGCCACTGTTGTTCATCAATACGGGAACATTTCATTGGAGGAAAAATATACAACAAATAAAAGAACTTTTGAACAATGAAACTGGTAGGTTGATGGAGAAATATAGAACAATTAATGTTTTTTGTGGAAAAGATCGGATGAAATAAATATCGAGAAATAAAGTGTCAAATCATATAAACTTAACTGAAGTATCTTTTTTATACTGGATTTATTTATCAGTTCTAGATGTTTTTCCTGGCAATATACTACAGGTGAAACTTAAACGAACTTTATTGACACTGGATAGCCAATCAACTTTTTATAGTAAGGGTCTGTTCATATAAGGATTTGGTCTGCGCGGAAAAACGCGCCTCTTTTGGCTCAAAAGTGGTGCATTTCCGCTCGTAAATACTAAAATACTCAAAATTTGCTAATTTCACAGGACTATATTTTCCGTATATTTTACAACATTTTGCAACCAAATTTGGCAATTTTACTAATTTAAGGATGTTCTTTTAAGCTACAATCATGGAAATAATATCCGTAGACTTTTTTAAAACGTATCTTGTCTTACTATTTTGTAAAGCCATTTATTTTTAGTTAATACAAACGTTCGTGATTGCTAGGAATGGTAACTCCCCTCCCCTCCACCTAGCACAATGTTGGTTCAAAATGGGACTATTGGACTACAAACCAACATTGTAAACGGGGAGGGGGGGGGGGGGATTTGGGAAATTTTTGAAAAGTCTACGTATTAATTTCCATGATTGTATAAAGATAGATTTCGTCCTTCTTGTCTGGGTCAAAATTTAGTCTTTATCTGGAATCATCATTTGAATAATGTAATATATTTCTTTCCTTTTACACAGTTGAAAGAAAAATGGTAACAATAAAGTAAGTATGGAGATTGGAGGAGGCAAGGTGAACAGAATAAAATGAAAATAACTTATTATATGGACAATGGTGTTTTACTGGAAACTAAAACACTCGTAGAACTCATACGTCACTACATCCGGGGCCAGGTGCGCGTATTTTCCGTATTTCACCCCTGCTAGTGACATACGAAGTTCTGAAAATTTCCCGCCATTATCATTGTTGTTGTTTTGAAAATACAAATTGGTCTTTGGTTCGTATATAAAACGAAATTAACGTTGGAAATAAAACGAAAACATTTAAAAGACATCTTGAGATAAGTAAAATTTATTCTAGTTTTATGTTTGTACTATATAATTTAAAAAAATATCGCTTTTATAGTAGTCTTTCGCGTGCTTATTTACATGTCGTCTTTGTGTGTCTTTTTGTCACTCTGAGTAAGTCCATATAATAAACAGAACATTAAACGGTTGCGAGAAGATATGGATTTATGTTCTCGTGTCAAAATATGGATTTATGTTCTCGTGTGTTTTTTGCCACTCGAACATAAAATCCATATCTCTTCGCAACCATCTAATATCCTATATATCTAAACTCAAATATCAACTAAAAGACCACTCAATGTCTGGTATTTTAGAGGGACAAGTCATCTTACTCAAAGTGACCTGCCTTCAGTGGTCCCACCCGCCGCCTGGAGATTCTTGGGCGTGAATTCGGAATCATTGGATGTTGGAAAAATCATAGATATTAACAGAACTATCATAGCAACATTCCTGTCTGAATATTTCGGTAAGTCGGTGCAAAATCAAGTAACATATGGTGGTTATGAAAGAACATACGTACATATAAAATTGAGCGTAAAGTTAATTGCAACCCATGGAATAAACGCGCCCCTACAGCTAAGAAAAAATAATGATCAGTTATGAATTATAACTGATAAAGAAATTTTCAGTCATCAAACTTGAGGATAAGTTTTCAGATTTGATCATAAAAACAAATAGATAATGTTGAATAAAAATACGTCTGATTGACAAGTGTTGATGAATTTATTTTCATTTCAATCATTAGCCTGGTTTCCATTAAATCGTAATTATCACAAGAACCGCATCGCAAGCGTCGCAACAATTTTAAAAACGCGAAAATTTTAATAAAAACTGCGATTTCTTGGAAACTTGAGTCACACCGATAACTAAGACTCTTACGACAAAGTCGCAAAGATAGACTTATTACTGCGATTTTTGCGATCTCTGCGTTCCGCGACTATTGCGATGATTACGATTTAATGGAAACCAGGCTTTACTCAAACGAGCGATGTATTGCTGAGAGGGTTGCGAATTTCTTTATCAAAGCGAATTTGTTAGCATACACCAAATCCAATACCAACATTTTTTAAAAAATCAATCAATCACATTAAAATATATGTCTGTTATCCCTGCCACCAGCTTGCCCCTAATTGCCGGGGCTGTTTTCCCAGAACATCAGCTCCGGCTTCAGGGACGATCACACCGTGTCTCGGTCGACGAGTGCTTGATTTATAGTATAGCATCCTCCTCCCCTGGAACCATCTTGGACTCAAAATATGTAGTCAAATATCTATTAAGATTCAAATATCTATACTGAACTACGAAGCTTTGATGAACCATTTTCATGTCTATTCCGTACTCGTTTGTATTATTTAGGAGTGGGTGAAGAATATGGCGATTCGAAAATCTTGAAGGAAGAAAGTGAACATGTACTAATTGGAAGTAACGTTGAACTGGACAATTTGACCAACAAACTATAAATTAAATAGAAATTAATATCGTAGACATAGCTTTGTATTGTAATGATTGTCAGGCCCCTTTCCTGCCTATTAAGTATTAGTAAGAGTTTGCTATAATTCGACGATGATCATAGATGAGTCTGTATGGCCATATTGTTCTAACGAGATTACAAATTTTGACAACATCGTCATCGATGAAAACGGTTTCATCCTCGATTATCAATCCGTTCGACTAGACTCATCGAGATTGAACTTAACTTCATTTTACCTGAATTTTCTTGAATACGATATATAGTATGACATGTCAAGGGATGGTAGAAAATAACAAAACAACATAACATAACAAATCAATTAGAGTAATGAGAACTTAATTAAGATATTTTTACAAATTAAAAATATTAAAAATTTGTGTTTCTGTGATATAATGGTATGTTACATTATTGACATATATTCGTCATAATTCACTAGATATATTTTAGTTAAAATAATCGCTACTCTGAGTTCCAGCCTCGTATTTACAAGTATATTTTAGTTAAAATAATCGCTACTCTGAGTTCCAGGCTCGTATTTACAAGACGATCTTCCGGCGATTGAAATCGCTCTGTTGAATATTTACATTATTGAGCACTCTTTTACCCGTAACGAAGAAGCTGTTTTGTTAACTAAGCAACTGTCATTGGCATTGTCGAGATGGTGCTGTAATAAATTGGCGAACATCTCTGACGATTAGTCAGAACTTAATTCAATTTCTGCAAGTCTAATCGTTGTCGCTTTTTGTGGATGTATACAGTTAATCATCGTAGGACTCACCACTGTGCAATGACAACGTTACTGGCTACGAATTTTATTGAACCGTACATTTCGAATCTGAATCTTCTTCAGCAATTAACTAGTTTTCAACGAATTGGCCAATGATGTCTGTATTGGTGATTGACAACGTGTAGTGGTGCAGTAACATTACTAATTCTTGAATATGATGTTGAAGACAAAAGCTGCTCCAAATCAAACCATTGTCGGGACTTGGCACAGCTATACAGTATGTTTCCAGAAATTGGATATCTTTCAGAAATTGGATAATCAGAGTGTCCCCGCAGTGATGTATACAGGTTCTTTAAAACATAAAACAGCATTGATTTTTGTGATTGCCTAGTGTGATGAATTCGTGGCCTGACTGGCCACGTGTTGTGCCGACATTACTAATTTCTCAATTAAGAAAATCCAACGCTGTACCAAATATGTCCTTCATCACTGGCTATCGACTACTGGTTATAGGCATTGGTGAATGTGTTGCTCTGTGTTGTGTTGGCTACTAAAGTAAGAAGGTGAATCCGCAGTTCCAAATATAGCCATAGTTGTGCCAGCCAGGCTCTTTAAAACAGGGTTGATTTTGTGTTGTGTTGATATTATTATAAAATTTCTTAGCGGAAGAAATAACACTGTTCCAAATCTAGCCGCAGGGTGTAATAATGTAGCATTAACTGCCCATTAGTTAAATGGCTTCGTCATAATAGCATTGAACAGTGTCTACGGTAGTGGTGTCTGGTGAACGTCCTGTGTTGTGCCAACATTACTAAATTAAGAATTTGAACACAAATGCTGCTGCTCCGAATCGCGCCATTGTTGTGCCAGCAACATGTTTCCAAGAATTAGACACCTCGTCATAGCATTCCACGCTGTCTTCAACCGACATGTACTCGCTCATTCCATTCATAGCAAATATCTTCCCACAATACACGGCGACGGCAGGACCACCACGCGGCCTGTTCATGGAGGACATTGCGACCCAGCTGTCTCTTGATGGGTTGTACCTTTCCACCGAGGAAAGTGAACCTTGTCGCTCGTTCACACCACCTACAGCAAAAATATAACCAGATAGTGCTACTGCACCAAAATCGCATCGTTTGTAAAACATGGAAGCGTCTTCCTGCCAATCGTTTGAATCGGGCAAGTAATGTTCAGTTGATGATAGGTATCCTCTCTGATCATCAAAACCACCAACAGCATATAGAGAGTTGTTCAACAACACAAGGGAGAATCTCCGTCTCTTGTGGGTCATGTTACAAACTGCTGTCCATTTATTGCTGACGGGACAATACTTCTCCACGTAACTAGAAAAGTTCAAAAATTTATAAGAAATGGCGTGCTTTTTCAAAATCAACAGCGTGAAATGCAAGATAAGAACATAAATAAAGCATGACAGTCTTCTGTTAACCCTTACCTACACGTTGCCTGCCCTGTACAAGATCCTCCAGCAACATAAATATTGCCGTCCAACACGGCCGCCTTCACTTCTCCTTGACATTTCGTTAGATGGGCTACATTTTCCCATGCAGCACTCTCGGGATCATAACACTGCACTGTATTCAATTTCGTGCCCTGTCTGCTGCCACCAATCACATACAACGTATTCCCGAGCACTGTAACAGCACATGCAACGCGGCTGCCAGCGAGTTTCACGGTATTGTTCCACTCCATTCTTTCACAATCAAAATACTCAATCGATCTTGTTTCCTTCATGAATGATCTCTCACCACCAAGAATGTACAACCACGCGGCGCAGGACTTCCGCATTGGCATCCCGGCGCATTCACAATGACAGATCATTGCTTCTTCAATAATATTTTGTAAAAATATATCACCTTGTATAAGACTCTGTTTCGAGATTTCACGAAGTTTCTTGGGTGGTATAAAAGAAAGTTTTGCAGCAGGAAGTAGGAACGGCAACATTTTACGTCTCGTCTTGCTATCATTTTCTACCCAATTGAAGATCACTTGTAAGACTTCAAGTTCATTATCAATGTTAATATTGTCACTTTCCAGCAAGTATTTCAATTGTTTGACGTCCAAGCTCAAAATTTCATTGCATTCTGCAACATCTTTGAAGTTCCTAAGGATGTAAGACTCTGCCTTGCTGCAAAGCTTAGTGCATGTGTGTTTCTCACCCAATTGCAAGATACCAATACAGTTACCAGGATCAAGTTGGTCTTGCAAGAAGCTGGAACAGGATTCCTTGGCATGGCTGAAACCCAAGAGATCGGCTGCAAGAAGCAGATCTTCCACATTGTTTTCAGTGACTGTAATTTCACCAGTGTAGCAAAAATCCAGAAGCAATTCCATTGATTCACTGGTAACTTCTTTGATGTTCACCTAATACCAAACAGGTAAGATAAATATTTTTAGGCAGACAAATTTTGAAAAAAACATGTACATATAAATATTTTTGTTTCTGGTGTTATGCACTTGGGCACAGAATACTACACAGAAGTCCATCTCCATTGTTTTTAGCGTAAGCTCTATTCGTCATGATTCGTCACTCAGCAAGTACCGTAAACAGAAGCAATCACCCCCCTGGAAATATGCCATTTTTAGTATTTCCAGGAGGGTGATTGCTTCTGTTTACGGTACTTGCTGAGTGACGAATCATGACGAATAGAGCTTACGCTAAAAACAATGGAGATGGACTTCTGTGTAGTATTCTGTTGTAGCAGTAGCATTTCATATTATTTAAATAAAAATCACTATATTTAAGTTTAAAGCTCCCACCTTCCTTTTTCTGCAGTCCTTGCTGTCATGCATGAAAAACATTTTAATTTAGACTGTAGAATAACCACTTTCATAGATGTTTAAATTTCCCTGCTTCAAATTACAAATGGGATAAGTACTATTTACACAAAAATCAATGGGCCCCCTTTATGACTATCCATGCACAAAAATAAATCAATGGGTCCCCCTTAATGACTTTATCCATGCACAAAAATATCCCCTCTCTTTTCACCAGCCCCCCCCCCCCAATAGCCCAATGGACAAACTATGTAAATATTGAATTCATCTAATAGAACCACTGGCATAGCCAGCACAATATACCAGGGGTGGCAATGCAAATTTTGTCGTGTTCATAAACTGTATTAAAGACAATAAATTGAAAATAAATGAATAATGGTAATGATTTGAAATTTGCATTGCCACCCCAGGTATATTGCACTGGTTATGCCAGTGAATAGGAGAGCATAACTTGTGAATAGCACCATGTTGGTGTTCCAATTTCCAAATTCAAAAGAATTTTAATAGATCTTATGCATAATGACTTCACAAGGCTTGATGCCTGCAAGGAATGCTGGTTTTAGTAGTCATCGCCCAGGAAAATTAAACAATTAAAAATGGCCATTATTGAAATTTTCCCGGGCTATGACTACCAAGACCATTTAAATTCCTCGCGGGCACAGAATAGATACAGGACCAGAAAAGGGCCCCGTATACTTTTTGCGTGAAGCGTGATGGGCTTATTTTACTTAGCCGTGAAACGTGATCGATGATTTTCTTAATCCGTGATTCGTGATGGTATGACTTCCAATCTTTTTACGTGCACGTGAAGGAAAGGTTCGATTTAACCGTGACCCGTGAATGGCAGATAGAAATATGCGGGATTCGTGAATCATCTGTTTTGTGACCTTTTGTGTGATCAGCTTTCCAAGGAATAAATAAGGTTTGTTGCTGTTTTTTGAAGTACTTGATGTACAGAAGCCTGTTTTCGTCATAGTTGGAGGTTTGAAAGCATGTCGAAGTAAGTACAGACGAGTACAATGATTCTACAATTAAGGAAGACATCCATATAATAATTCGTGAATTTTGTTTTATTTTTACGTGAATCGTGATCGCTTCAATTTTTCCGTGAACGTGAAGGAATTTTTTCAATTTTTCGTGACTCGTGAAAAGGCAAAATATTTTTACGTGAAAGCATATTGTGAAGAGGTATAGGGGGCCCTCCCAGAAGTGTCACTCAGATGATATTTTGTCCGAAATTTTATGAGTGCTGACGTGAAAATATGCCATCATATGACGCCATCCTGGAGTGCACACGGACATTTTTCATAGGAAAACATAGGTACAAAGTGCCGGGTGCACTCCAGGATGGCGTTATAGCACGTAAAAAAAATTCGGACGTTTTCCTTCAGCCAAAACAAATAGGAATGACACTTCTGGTCCGGTATCTATTCTGTGTTGCGGGCATCAAGCCTTGTGACTTCATTATGCATAAGGTCTATTGACTCTTTTGTCTGGAACACCAACATGGCCGCCATGGCTTTTGAGTTGGTCCCTGGGGAATGAGTGCCAAAGCTCTATTGAAGTATCCCTCTGTTTGCCATGTTTATTACAGACAAATTATCAGACTTTTTTTATTTGCCCAGGATTATAAATACTGGTTAATTATTGGCATATTCCAACAATCAACATTTTTAAACAAACCTTTTGTTGAAATTTTTCACTCATACCCCCTCGAAACATTGCACTGAAGTAAGGGCTCGCTGACACTAAAACAACTTTATGCACATTAAAATCTCGACTGCCAACACGCAGAACTACATCACAAAATTCACCGCTTTGCATCAGCTCGTAAAAATTCGACATCATACTCCCAGCAAATCCATTTGCGATGAACTTTTTCTCCTTTAACTTTGCAATGCATATTTCCTCAACATTTGTCGCCATTGCTGTGACTAGGATAGATTATTAAACACAAACATTGCCTTCATATTAAACGATCATTTCACATATTACGAACAAAACAGTTTCTCAATTTTCATTGAACGTGCATGTTGCCGGGGGGTGTGTACACACATATACAAAAAATTACTATTTACACACATGTACAAAAAATTACTATTTTTAAAAGAAATGCTCAGATAAATAGTACGTTGCAATTAACTATAAAAATATATTTAATACCACTAACTGAAATTGGCTCCAACGACCCTGATATTTCATAAAAAATGCTTTATTCTTTTCTCTTTTTCTAAAAAATCATCCCCCGGTTTGGAGCCAAACACCACCTGCAAATCTGCAGTCGTCTGCAGTCTCTATGACAACGACGTCCTTTAATTTTGACGTCATTTATTAATAGCTCCCAGTCTCCACAAAATCGCTCGGCCATTATTATTTATTCATGTTTTGGGAAGAACGTCAAAGAAAAATTGATATATTTTGAGCACAAAAAAACAGTTATTTTAGTAAACATTCAGCGTTAAAATGGCAGCAGTGCTTGGTGGATTAGGTTGTTGTTCTTTAGCGTCTTGTGCAGCGCCTGTAAGTGTTCAGAAATCAGTTTGTTTTTACAACAATATTACGTAGTATATTCGTAGACCCTAATCGGTCTATGAATTTTAATATTTTATTGAGTTCATATTCAATAGCATTTTATGTTGTGTGTTGTTTGACATTGCTAATTTCCCCCAGAGGGATTATCCATCAGGCTGTTACACCAAGAATTGTTTATTTATACTATATGCAGAATACTTCTTGAAGACCTTTTTGCTTGACATTACTCAGCAATATTTATAAATATGGCCATGATTGTGATCATATGGCAATTTGCCACAATACATAAATATTTCAAATATACATGGTTCGGCAATTAATACTGTGACAATAATTCCGTTTTGGGCATTGCATCTTGTATTGTAAAGCAACCCAAAACAAAGTCTGATAAGCAAAAAACCACAATTACATCCAAAAATATTTGAATCAGTAGAAAAGAGGGTGGATTGGACCATTGGAAAATGAGAACCATAAGATATTCTATGCTGTGGATTTTCATCTGTCAACGGATCCCACCCAATGTGCTAGGGCCATTAATTAATCTGAAGTAGTATTATGCATGCATACATACAATATTCTTGTTTTTTGGACAATAAATTTTTCCTGAACCAATCATAACGCTGACCCTAATCCAAGCGGTTCTTTCTTATCTTAACTGTCCTAGCCATTTGTTTGCAGGAAGAAGAATTCTTACACATATGCTTGAAATTTAGGATTTTCTTGAAATCAACTGAAATTTATTTGGTATCATTTTTATTAGCATGTTTAATTTAAAGACAAGAAATGTTGTTTATCTCAGACAAATAGCATAGTATTTTTTTTTTTTTTTTGTGTTGGTGTTGTGTACTCACATGAATAATATGTTTGCGATGTTGCTCTGAGTGCATATCCACACCGGGCGAGCTTGAAAAATATGCCCGGCCACGGTGGGCTAGTATTCCAAAGGTCGTAGGTTCGAATCCCACCGTGGCCGGGCATATTTTTCAAGCTCGCCCGGTGTGGATATGCACTCAGAGTAACATCACAAACATAAAATAGCATAGTGATTGACCAATTGTGCCACAGTCAGAAATTACCAATTATTCATGCAAACAATCTACCCAATGCCGATTTCATGACTTCATATTATATAACTACAGTGAAACATGCAATTTGATTGGTCAATAGCCGTGCAGGATCAGGCTATCCTGCATGAGGGGAATTTAAATGCCTTCGCGGGATTCTCAAAATGTCATTGTTTCACTGTAGTTATTTTATAAAACAATTACCAAACAGTTTTCCAAGCAGGATAGTGTGATCCATGCACTTGGGATGTTGCTCAACTTTCGGAAAGCGTAAAAATACACTCGCCTGCGGCTTGAATATTTTTACACTTTCCGAAAGTCTCGCAACATCCCTCGTGCATGGATCATGCAATCCTGCATAGAAAACCATTCGGTATTCCTATGTCATTTGACTGAGAAAAAGTGACGTCATTCATTTAATTTTTAACAAGGATTTTTTCTGCAGCCAAAGTATGTTAAAACCATGTATACAACATGGATCAACACACAATGTATATATTTTTTAAAGTGTGTGTTTTCTCAACAATTGGTTGTACACAATCAGAACTACAGATATTTCTACTGATTCCAATTGTCTAAGTACTGATAAGGCAAAAATTAGTCTGATTCCAATATCGATTATCGTGATCAATCACTAGAATAGCATCTGAATATTTTGTTATGAAAAGTGCATTATTACACTGACCTTTGAATTGAAAACATGTGACTGAATTCATTTTGTTGTCAGGCTGCATGTTGTTGTGGTTCATCTGCATGTTTTTGTTGTTGTTCCCGTTGTCCGTCATCCAAAAACTCCACATCCACAAGAATCGTGTACAGTGTCTTCCTATTCCTGGGCAGTGTAATTTCTGGAGTCATGTTGGTGCCAGGCATTAAAGAAAAATTGGCAGACATTCCACATTTCTGTTCCTCAGACGAAAATAAATGTGATAATTTTGTTGGTTATCTCGCCGTCTACCGAGTGTGTTTCGCCATGGCGGCATTCTTCTTTCTCTTGACATTAATCATGTTTAAAGTTCAAACAAGTAAAGATGGTCGAGCTAAGTTTCAGAATGGGTATGTGACAATGAGAAACTTTCACTTCTTCTTAAAAGCTATAATTTCAAGAAATTAACCCTTTAAGTGGCAATGCGCCCAGATGATTTTTTGTATTAATTATCCTAGGTTCTGGATAGTTAAAATCCTTCTGTATCTTGGATTGATAACTGCTGCATTTTTCATACCAAAAGGCAACTTTGGAAAAGGTAACACAGGGAGAAATATTGTTTTTTTTTAAATATACCCTCTTCACACCATAATTTATAAATATCCAGAATAAACAATCAAATTGTGCCCTAACTAGTCAAATCATTCTAATTGGCTATTAATTAATCAAGTATTAATTAATCAAGTATTAATAAATCAAGTATTAATTAATCAAGTATTAATAAATCAAGTATTAATTATTGTAACATGTTGCTGTTTTTGGGCAAGTGAATATAATTGTACATTTGTATTGTTTTATTTTCAGCCTGGATGTACATTGGCATGTTTGGTGGATTTTTGTTCATTCTTATTCAGCTCATATTGTTAATTGATTTTGCTTACAAGTGGAACCAGTCTTGGTAATACACCCTTCCAGAAAGTACATCACTTTGGTTATAGAACCTCATAAATAAATATGGTTGAACCTCACTTTTTCGAGTATGTGACAGCCCATGTCTCAATCATGAAAACGAGACTCTATAGCCAAGGTGACACACTTTCCGGAAGCATTTACTAGACTGGATTGCTGTATAGGTTCACAACTAGACTGGATAGCAGCCAGTTTTTTCCTCCCTTAACGATCTGCCTGCTACGCAAGCTAGTTCTCAACTGTTTTGTTTAGTGGGCCAGTAAGAGCCATCCCTCCAATACTGGTCCAGTATTACTACACACAGGGGGAAAAGGTTTTCTAGTGACAATCGGTCAGTTTAAATTAAGAACCCTTCTTGCAAAAGCAGAAATTAGCCTTTCTCACAAAGGCCAAAATCTGCCATTTTGGGGCTACTGTCTGCCCTCGTGAAAGATTCTAGACAATTCAAACAACATGAAAAGCGACTTTTAATTTACTGTAAATTTACCGTTATACAAACATCTATAGTAAAAAGTTGTATTTCGTGGTGTGGAGACTCTCAAATATGAGAGAGGCAGTACCCCAAAAATGGAGGGAAAATTGGCTGCGAGAAAGGCTAATCCTAATGAGACAGGTATTCAATGGATATACATGTAGGTTGAACTGAGGTAGCCTGCACAGGTGGTGATTGTTATGATAGGTTGGGGAGTGTCAGTTATGCAAACTATCCCGGAGGTACAAAAGCTCTCCCAACAACAGTCTGTACTTACTAAAGTCACCAAAACCTTCTTTAGGATGGAAAAATGGGAAGTGAATGGACAAAAGAAGTATATTTATGGTATAAAAAAACAAACTCTTCTCTATTCATAATTGAACGTATTGTGCAGTAAATTCAAGACCTTTAGCCTTTGGTGTCAGCTAGTACAATTGGGTGTCGTGTTAATACAGAAACCTCTTAAGGGTCCATTCCATCCATAGACCAGTTTGAGAAACATATTAAGCAAATTATTCTAAGGTTTACTTGTTGCCTTTGTGAGTTGCAGAAAGCTGGTTGTGGGTAAACGTCACAACCAAAGACAAAATGAACGTGACATTCCAAAGTATCGGATCGCGACCGGCCAAAGAACATTCAGATACAGAGGAACCAAAATCTGGAACGCATTGGACGAGGATTTAAAATCCATTATTGTTGATATTAACAATTTTAAATCTAAATTAAAAGCAGGACTTTTAGAAGGAAATATAAAATTTACATTTTAATCTTGGTAACCAGTAATTTAATAGTTGACAATTTTAATATAGAATAGACAATTTATAAATAATTTTAATTGTCAATAATAACTGTAAATTATCGTTGAAGAACCCGTTTTGGGAATGTCAATAACTTTAAAATTAAATTAAATTAATCCCGAGCTAAAAATTTTCCGGTGGTGAAAATCAGCACCCAAAGGCTTGGAATTTCTAGTCTTGAACTGCAATTGATATATACTGTACTTTGTATACTGCAGGGCTTGCTGTCGCAACTGGTGCAATGTATTTGATTTCCCTTGTTGGATTTGTATGCCTTTTCATATTCTACACAAAGGTAGGACAGTCTCTTTACTTCGTAGCAATCTTTTTCCATTGTTTCCATCTTAGACTAAGGATATTTTAACGTAGATACTATAGTACCACCGGTACCTGACTGACTTGAATTGTTTTACTGTTATTTTAGTCATCTGGTTGTCGTTTAAACAAGTTTTTCCTGAGTTTTAACTTGTGTTTATCAGTCTTGGTTTCTGTGACAGCCATTTTACCAAAAGTTCAAGAAGGTGATTTTTACCATCATTTACATGTAAACATTTGAATTTTGTATTCATTAACATTCATTTTGCGTTATAATGATTTTTCACATGCTGAAGGGCGGAGTGTTTTCACACAATTTCTCGTTTTCCCAATTTCCACTCGTGTTGATATAACTGTATATCAATACGGAAAAGTTTTATATTTGTTTTATACAAAGAAATTTAAGTTTTACACAAAGAAATATAAAGAAATTTTCCGGCGTTTCCGTGTTGACATTGAGTTATATCAACACAGCTCTTAGCCAATCAGCGTTCAGATTTTACAAATGCTAGATTATAATCATATTTACTCAACTTGACTTAGGTCAACCAAACTCTGGGCTTCTCCAAGCGGGGCTTATTACTCTCTACACAACCTATCTAACATGGTCTGCTATCTCCAATAATCCTGGTAAGTCATTTATACCGATTCGAAAAGACGTTTCCCAGGTAGTGTAGTTTAACATTCTCGTTTAACAAAAGGTGTGTGTGACAAAAGGCCCTTGCAGCCTGCTTCAGGCATGCCCACTATTCCTGGCACGGTCAGTTTGAAGTGTTGATTGACAATGAAAATTATGCTTTTGGCTTTACATGTTGAAATTTCTCTTTCCCTAGATGCAGAGTGTAACACAAGCATATCCTCTGGTTTCCAAAGTCATTCTGTCATCGCGGCCATTGTCATGTTTGTCATGGTGATTTATTCTTGGTAAGATTTAATAACTTCTGAATACACCCTTCTACAGCCTCGTTTTCATGATTAAGATATTGGGTTTTACCTTGTTACACATTTACAATGTCTCAGTCTCCCCTCTTAACCCTGGTTCACACAAGCAATTCTGTCGGCGGTTTTTCTCCTCCTGGTAAGGCGTAAAAAAATACCTGTGGTTCCAGTTTCATATCGTGAAAAAATTAGGGTCGGTAGGTCGGAAATAATTTTTTTTTTGAATATTTTTTTCATGTTTTTGGCGGTTTTTTTGCTGGGCGATTTAAGAGCCTGGGTACGAGATTGGGCGATTTGCAGTAGAGTCCCGACATCAATATTAATTAAAGATGCATATTTCCTATGGACGAATTTAGGCAATTTGGAATCAATAATTAATGTGACAACAGACATGGCATGCTGTATGAACAGCCCGCAACCACCTGGAGAAAATAGGGTCACACAGTCAATCTCGTTGAAAAAATAATAGGGTCGGTCGGAAACCGGAACCACAGGTATTTTTTTACGCCCAAATATGATGGAATGAATGACATGTAAAATACTTAGAGTTGTTTACTTCTGAAGAGACTATACTTTTGTGTGCGAGTTCACTCATTTGCATCCGTCAGAAACACAAAATTGCTAGTGTGAACCACGCTTTAGAATTGGCCATCACATCTGCACTGACCTCAAATAGTGAAACAATAACTGCAACTCACTTTCATCAGGGATGGATCTAGCCAGATCTTGGGGGGGGCGGTGCGTTCATCGAAGGTTTGGTCATCGACCATTGATCTAGGATCGATCATTGATCATCCCATTGATCATCCCCACAGAGAGCACTAGTCTGTAGTCTTGCTTGACAATTTCACAATTGTTAGAATCTCAGTTTGTTTCTATTTTATTCTTGTTTTGATAATTGCCGGCGCCCCATTTCTCAAGACTTCCACCTGCATCTTCCAGAAAATCCGTCCCTGTATCAACTTATTGTTGTACTGTATTCATAGTCTGCGCACAAGTAGTTCATCTCGTCTTGGCGGAATTGGCATGACAAAAAATGGGCAAATGGAGGTTTGTGACTATGTACAAACTTTGTGTCAAAATCAATGCAATGTAATGTCCTCTACGCAATGTGCAAATTTTTTGAAGTCACTATCAGTAATGCAATGTCCTCTGTGCAATGTGCAAATTTCTTGTTGAAGTCAATGTAATGTTCTCAGTGAAAAATTGGAAATTTAGTTATATGATCTTGCATAAATAATATAATCTGTCATATTTTTTCCATTCTCTAGGAAGTTCTTTTGCCTGATTATGGCGAAGGTTAGTTTTGTATTACAATCACCATTTGTCTTATTTTACCTTTTCTTGTCATTTTATTTCAGATAGGGCAACAAGCCAGCAAATTGATAGAAAATTCAATAATGTATTATATTATGTCCAGTGTATCCAGTTTATATTAGATTAATAAACAATTATTATCGCAACCTGCTGATATAACAGACACCGATCATTCTATATTGTATTATTATATACTGTAGTAGAGAGTGAGATACTGAGAAATACACAGTGACATATTTTCCATATAGTGAAGATATCAATCACGTGACTTAAAGTATTTATACAATTTTTTGCCTGGCACTATTACATGGTGGCTTGAAGATATGACTTTTATCTTCTCGTGTTAAAAACAATATTAAAATTTACTCACTCGCTGCGCTCATTCGTAAAATATTGTTTTCACCACTCGAAGATAAAAGATATGAATCTTCGCGCCGCCGTGTAATATCCTCTATACGGCTATATTTTTTCCCTCAAAAGTGCTGTCTGAATGCGTGAAATATTATTTCATACGTGCTGAAAACAAAGAAGTCCAGTCCGTAATATTGTTGTACCTCTAACACGTAAGCACGTGATGAAATCAATGTTTTTCGTATTCTAGAAGGCACAGAAGCCAAAGCCGATGATGAAGACGCAGAAGAAGGGAAACCGAAACATCAAAAAGTTCATGATGATGAAACTCTGGGTGTGGCTTATAATTATTCTTTCTTTCACTTCACATTTCTCTTGGCGTCTCTTTATATTATGATGGTTCTCACAAACTGGTATAGGTGAGTATTTAGGAGACATTTTTACCTAGACATTTTATAATTGTATAATTTATGCGTGGTAGATATAACTTGATATGTATAATTTATATAATTGTATAATTTATGCATGATAGATATAACTGCATATGTATAATTTATCTAATTATATAATTTATGCATGGTATATATAAATTAATGTAAATTAGAATAGTTTTCTGTGTCGCGTATTTGCGATAAAAGCGTTCAAAATTTAGAATTTTAATTTTTTAAAAAATTCAACTCCTGTAGGCATCCATGTACGGCAATATAAGCAAAACTGACTGAATTTCAAGACATCATTTGAAATGCTTTTGTAAAAGTAAATGCTGCATTTCATATAGGGACTAGTGAAATTGAAATTCTAACGTTCGATCATAAATAGAATGCTTTTAAAATGAAGAGATTATTTCGCTGGCCTCAGAGTGACAAAATGTAACAAAACAACGGTTTTACTAACCCTACTCCAAACACCAACTCTTACCCTAACCCTACTCCAAGTTTATTTCTAAACCAATCTTGAAGAAAGTTTTGACGAAATGTCATTCTGAGTCAGCGAAATAGTTGATGCCTTTTAGAATCACCAGTTTGAGCATAGAAGTCACAAATTTTCTAAGACTACTTGTTCTACTACTTGTAAATAATTATTCTACCATTCCTACTATCTAGCTAATTTGTACTTCTTGTTACTATACCTCATATTTGTAAATAACTATATTTATGTAATATTTCGCTTAAACTACTGTAATTTTTCTTATGCATGACACGCCCCCTATGGAAATCAGCTTCGGTTGATAGGGTTAGCGTGGGTAAATAAAGTTTTTCTATCTATCTTCTATCTATCTAATCATGTCTTATTCTTTATTATAGTCCACAGAATGCGGACTTCAACACACTTAACAGCAACGTAGCTTCAGTTTGGGTGAAAATCATCTCAAGCTGGTGTTGTCTTGGGCTCTATCTCTGGTCCTTAATTGCACCAATTGTTATGCCTGGCAGAGATTTCTCGTAAACATTAAAACAACTGGACTTATAAACAGGTTAAATGATATTTTGCATATACAACGGTAGTATACTATGGGAACTTTCAAGTAGACATAGTGTAAAAGCAAGTCAACTGCTGCACATTATGATATTTGCACATCTATATAGAAACTACGTTAATGATACTCATGCGTGTTGTGTTCTATCAGGAATTTCAAGTAGATAAACTAGAGAAGCATATAAACTTTGGAACATCATAAAATCTGCAGAAAGTACTTTAATGACACTATCTAATGAGTCAACTTAATGTTACTGTATTGCCCATTTTGATATATGGATGTAGAAAATACTTTATGACACTATTTAATGTATCAATTTAAAGCACATGTAAATTAAAACTGGCATGGAAAGTATCAAGACTGTTCTTGCATTTATGTGATATAGTATGATCTGCCGATTCTAACCATACATGGTTTACTTGAAGGGGTGCACACCCTCAAAGCCTTGGACAATGCATGGCCAAGGAGGCTGCCATTTTACTTATTAAATAAAAAATCCGTTTGTTATACTTTCCTCAAATTAAAATTTCCTTTTAAAATGTTATTTTAGGACCATGTAGGAACCATGCTCAAATGACGGCAAAGCACATTTTGTATATATACAGAATTTCTTCCTATGATATTAAGATCCCCCAAACTACCGAAAAGTACAACTCACTGTCTATTTTTGCATGGTAAAATAATAAACTAAAAAGCAAATTATAAACACAACTAGCTAGCGTCAAATGCTCAAGGCGATGTTTATCTCTATTCTGAGTTCTTTGACGCATTCCATGTGCACTTTCAGGTGAAGCTCATAGTTCATAGCTCAAGTCATTTCGTAAGGTGGCGAGATAGATTAACATTAAGTAAATTATGACCGAGCCTGCCAAAAACCTCATCCAAATATCCATATTTATAGAAGAAATCCAATCAGTACAAATTTTCAGGAAAACGATATACTAGCACGAGTACTAGTATGGGGTTTCTGAAATCTCTACGAATTCTGCATGTTTACAGTGTTGTACTGTTTGTACACCCTTAACTTCTGACCTTAAAATGGAACTGTGCCAAACCTTTATCCGTCATCTCAAGTGTAATTCTCCAAGATAGATTTTTCTATCACTGCCAACGGATAACACTAGAACAAATACAAATGAACATTGTTGGTCAGCTAGCAATGTGATGGTGGGAAAGGTTGGTTGAATTGCCAGTGGGTTGGTCGGTTAGATTATCAGTGGGTTCACTGGGTTGCTCGGTTGGACTTTCAGTCAGGTGGGTTGGTCGGTCATGTCGGTCGGCCTATCAGTGGGTGAGTTGGTTGGACTACCAGTCAGTTGGTCGGTCAGTCATGTCGGACCGTCATCAGTCAGTGGGTGGGTCGGTCGGTCGGTCGGTCGGTGGGTCGGTCGGTCATGTTGGTCGGTGGGTCGGTCGGTCATGTTGGTCGGTAATGTATGTCGACCAGACAGTAGGTTGGTTGTGTCGGTCGGACAGTCAAAGTAACAAACTTACGTATTGGTTCCTTTGGATGAAAATCAACATCATTGACAGAGCCATCATGACCTGGTAACTTGTACAAAATCCTTCGTGATTGAGTGTCCCACACATAAACAAACCTAAACATATATAAAGATTAAAAGTACAGTCAAATGTCTACAGACATCTCTCTAATAAAGGCACCTCTCTCATACAGACACCTCCCTAATACGCACACTTCTCTAAAGGCTGATTTCCACTGTTGCGTTTTTCGTACGCGCGTACATGCACGTAAAACTTTGAATCCTTCTATTTTTTAAATATTTTACAAATAAGTTAACAAATGCATACTAACACTTCCAGAACACTAAATCAGGCTTGTTGCTTTATTTATTTGGTTGTTTCATAAGTAACATTTCATAAGTAACTGATTTAAAGTTTTACGTGCGTATACGTACGTATGAAAAACGCAACAGTGGAAATCAGCCTTTACCCACTAGGTTGCATTACGCCCTACTTTATTATTTTACCCTCTCTAACGCCAGACGATTTTTATTTGTCAAGGTTAGGGGAGAGCACTCAATGGGTTAGTCAGACGAAACAGAAGTCTCGATTACCTTTTGGGACATGGGGGTCAACACTGTATAAAACTACAATACAAATTTTTGGAGAAATTCTTCGCTCGAAACGTCGAAGTTCTCCTTGTATTTTTCAGGCAGTTGCATGCCTACCAATGAAAGTTTTGATATTATTGACACGAACTACATTGTCTACACTGGTACGGGATCGGTTGTACGAAGGCCGGATAGTGAATTTGGAAGATCATCTGATTCCCCACACTGAAACACGGTAGCCATTCTTTTAAATTCAGAGTCCCGAGGATCAAAAAAAATGTTTACAAATTTTCGTATTTCCGTAAAACAATAAAGGAATGGAACGAATTGCCTGAAAATGTAGTTCTTTCGGACTCTGTAGAACTTTTTAAATCGAACCTTAATGATTTTTTAATGTCTGTTTTAATGTTGATAACAAGTAATTTTAATATCTTAGTGTAAATAGCTGGTGCCGATGTCCGTAATGGATTTTACCGACTCAACATATGTAGATGTAGTGATTTTTTCAAGCTTTCTTAAATCAGTCGTTTTTTGGTATAACTCGTATTAAAGTTTAGTATTTATAAGTTAAAATGTTTTTTATATTTCTTGTGTCGTCTATATCCGTAGTTTAAGTTTCACAGTTTTTCAAGCTATCCGACCTTCGTACAACCAGCTCCAGATAAAATTACCTGTCAGCCGATCCAGCAGCAATCATTTTCCCGTCAGGTGACCACGAGCACTTTACCAAGTTCTGTTCAAAACAAATACAAAGTTCTGGTTATATTTACTGGGTATAGCAATCATATAAAGATTACAGAACTTTATAAACGAAGTTCTGTTTTTCGGTTAAATGTCAGGGAAAAACAAGTGTATTGGCGCAAACAACATTGATATTGGGGGATTGGGGGAAGGGAAATAGAATGAAAATTCTGCCATATATTTTGTCCAGGATTGTAGATACATTTTCGTGCTTCCACATTTCGCTTTGAAATAGCCGTCTCTTAGTTATGCCAGACTTGATCTATAAACTACATAGCCCTAATATTGTTCCCTTCAATTTAAATATCAGTGATATTATATCACTCCAGTAATATTATAGAGGTCATTGAAATTTTTGTCAGTTGGTGATTTTGATTATTTAAATATTTCAAATTTTTTCACATAATTAAAACAACTCAATATTTCAAATATACGTATCAATTTCTCCAAATTTTAACTACCAATTGTACTTATTCAAATACACAGAAACTTATCCTCGCTTCCACAATCATAAACTCCAAAATTCTAACTTTCTCCAGTTTTAAAATACAAATTTCTAAAAGCTGCTCTGTCTTCCGAGTCATGATCCTGTCATCACGAGATTTTCTTATGCAAATATTTCATATCACATTTCAATTGTTGGCGTCTCGCAAAACGAAAGTTGAATTACAAAGCTTTGTCTGCTCTTTTAAACTCCTAGTTATCGACAATGTGAAGTGAAAATCATTACAGTTATGTTGCTTTTACCCTTGGGGATTTTGAGTTGAACTTTTGGTGAATAAAAAGGACGAAATAATGGCGTGCAGTAAATACGACTACCAGCTTGGGTATGAAGACAATCGTTTCGAGATTGTTGTCAGTCAAAGATTTCACTGCCCCATTTGTTTCCTGGTTCTTAAAGATCCCGTTATGTGCAAGAACGAACACTACTATTGTTCTTCATGTATGAAAAAGCATTTGGAAAACTCCTCGTTCTGTCCGACGTGTCTTGAACACCTCAGTGTCGACACACTAAGACCAGCTCCGAGGATTGTCAATGATTATATATCTGAGCTGAATATTCATTGTGATTTCTACTCCAGAGGATGTCCTGAAATAGTTCAAGTTGAAAATCTCAAACGTCACGTTGCAAGTTGTGGATTCTCTCCCATGCAATGTTCCAATGATGGATGTAATGTTCTCGTGAATGCCAGCGACAAGCTTCACCATGAAACTGAAGTATGTGATTTTAGAAAATTGATATGTCATGACTGTGGTCAAGTCAAGAATGAAGTGAAGGAAATGAAAGATCAAATAAAGAATGAAATGAAAGGAATGAAAGGTGAAATAAAGAATGAAATGAAAGGAGTGATTGAAAATGAAATGAGAGGAATGAAAAGTGAAATAAAAAATGAAATGGAAATAATGAAAGAGGGATTGAAAAATGAAATAAAGGATGAAATGAAAGGGATGAAAGAAGGAATGAAAGAAATGATCGATCAAGTATTCGTGCATCAAGATCAGATGCAAGATAAAATATCGAAAGAAGTAAAAGAGGAAGTAAAAAATCAGATGAAGAATGAAATGAAAGGAATGATTGAAAATGAAATGAAGGGAATGAAAGAGGAAATGAAAAATGAAATGAAAGGAATGAAAGAGGAAATGAAAAATGAAATGAAAGGAATGAAGGAGGAAATGAAAGGTGAAATGAAAGAAATAGTTATGAATGCAGTGCGAGATGCAATGGCGGGAATAAAAGGTCTCGAAGTTGAAATGAACAATTCAAATCAAAGTTCACAAGCGACATGTTCTTCAGATGCAAGAGAAAATATTTTTCTAGTTGGTGGGTGTCACAACGAGGGTAGGAGGGAGGTGAAGAATAAATCCACGGAGTGTTTCAACTGGGCTGACCAAACTTGGACATTGCTGGATTCTGCAGTATTTGAGGGTCGTTCTTACACTTGTTCTTTCCTGCATCAAGGTCAAATGATAGTCGCTGGAGGTTATGATAGTCGCGGCAAGAGAACAAACACAATGAAATGTTTGAATGTTGCAGATCTAGAAGCCACATGGAAAGATTTCGCTGTCAATCTTCCTGTCAAGTGTTCTAGTCATAAAGTTATCTATCATAATGATCGGGTGTTTTTGTCTGGAGGACGGATTACCGAGAGATGTTCCCATGCTGTCTACGAGGTACAGTTGGTTCCACCATATGCCAGTACGATCTTGACAAGATTACCACAACCAAGATCTCATCATGGCATGGAAATGTTTGATCAGAAATTGTTCATTATTGGAGGATTTGATGGTGAGAAGATCAGAGCCAATGTGTTACAGTATGATCTCATCAAGAATGAATGTAAAAGAATGCCTCCATTGCCATATGCTGTGGACGAAATGGCGACTGTTTTATGGCGGAATAACGTGCTTCTCATCGGTGGCGAGGATAAAGACGACAACGCTTTGAGTAAAGTAGTAATGTACGATGTCATCACAGGCCGTTCTCAAATGTTGCCATGTATGAAGCATAAGCGTCGTGGTTGTACAGCGGTCTTAACTGGCAATGTTGTAGTGGTTATGGGAGGAAGAAATGAGAACCAAAATCTCAAGTCTGTGGAATGTTTTGATTTAGAACGTCAAGTTTGGCAAGACTTGCCTGACATGCTTAAACCACGAGCATATTCCACTGCAGTGGTCAAATCAAACCATTGAACTCAAAAATGACATTGACTATAGTTGTTCTTGAACCACAACTCTACTAATTAAGCTATCGAGTTAATTAACAGAGATTGCTGATGAATTGTATCCAATTTAAGTGCACGAAATATTTCCAGCAAGTGAATATATCATTAAAAACAAGTGTTGAAACATTTCATTTACTTAAATTGGTTAGAACTTGCAACCAATCTCTATTGACTAGATTTGTTCCAAGTCTCTTACTGCACGGCGAGAATGTGTGTCTTTCTTAAAGGTCAAGATACGACTTTAACAATATAGTCAATGAAATTCCCATTTCCAGAGGGTAAACGACTTATTTCGCTAGCTTATAAAATAGATAAGAAATATAAGCAACCACGAGCCAGCTACGGCACTCATTATCGTTTGATATTTAAACAGTTAAATGTTTATAAGAAAAACTCTGACGAATTTGCCATATTAAAACTACTGATCATTGAATAATATGTGTTATGAACACATTTTCGAGTAATAGTACTGTAGTACATAAAAAGTAGGAAAATTTGCAAGTATAGTATCGTAATTTTATATAATCGTATAGTGTGAAGACGAGAAGCTTATTAGTGTTTTAGATTATTATGTGTATATCCTCGTAAATAAAAGATTTACTTGCCTAATCAAAGACCCCTATAAACTACAATCTAGAACTGATAGTGATAGAGCAATCTAGTATAAATATAGAAAGTTTTAATATAAGTTTTCTATTCACTGTAGATCAATAATGGATAACGCTGCCGGTGCCTCTAGAGAGAACCTTTTAGGCCCCAGTTACACGATACCAGATTCGCATCGGAGCGACATCAAATTTTACTTCTTCGAGATGAATTTGGGACTTAAAATTATGATAATATAACATAGTTAAACAAATACTTCAAATACGAAAAGTTGTAAGAGCAGACAAGCCTGGAAAACACCTTAAATTGATGTCGCTCCGATACGAATCCGGTATCCTGTAACTGGGGCCTTAGACTGCGGTTATTGTTGAGCCAGAAATGAAAAGCAATCCAATTAGTCTAGGTTTCTAATTACGTCTATCAACATCACCTGTGGGAGGAAACTCATAGAAACAGGGATGGATGCAGCATGATCTGATAGGCGGGGTGCCCTGGTGCCGACTGCCGAGTTGTATCGGTCATGTGTGCCGCCCGCCCATCATCTAGGGTATTTGAATTGTAATTGTTGTTCACAGTTCACTTATCATCATGTTATTACTCAAATTACTGTATCTCGTTTTGTCCTTTTTGCTTTATCATAAAAATAGCACCCCCGTGCACCCCCCCCTGGCCAGGGCTAGGGGGGGGGGGGGGGGGGTGCGCACCACCCTGCACCCCCCAGGAAATCCATCCCTGCATAGAAACCTGAGAAAACCCACGAGTTTCGGTAGAGCGTTGACCGACTGTTTACATAAGTATCATGAGCGAATTCACAGCGAGAATCGAACCCACGATCTCAGAGGTGAACTTGCTCTGACGATTGCGCCACCTTAACCCAGCTAAGATATCACTCCAGTAATATTATTAAGCTCATTAAAATGTTTGTCAGTTAGAGATTTGGACCACAACCGCTATTCTACTAAAGCTTTGTATATATCCATATCAATCCGTCTTTTAGTTATGTTGGCGACTTCATCTATATAAACTACACGGCTTCAAGATTATTCCCTTCACCCAGCTAAGATATCACTCCAGTAACATTATTGAGCTCATTGAAATGTTTGTCAGTTAGTGATTTGCACCACAACCACTATTCTACTAAAGCTTTGTATATATCCATATCAATCCGTCTCTTAGTTATGTTGGCGACTTGATCTATATAAACTACACGGCTTCAAGATTATTCCCTTCACCCAGCCAAGATATCACTCCAGTAACATTATAGAGGTCATTAAAATGTTTGTCACAGTTAGTGATTTGCACTACAACCGCTATTCTACTAAAGCTTTGTATATATCCGTATCAATCCGTCTCTTAGTTATGTTGGCGACTGAATCTATAAACTACACGGCTTCAAGATTATTCCCTTCACCCAGCTAAGATATCACTCCAGTAACATTATAGAGGTCATTAAAATGTTTGTGACAGTTAGTGATTTGCACCACAACCGCTGTTCTACTAAAGCTTTGTATATATCCGTATCAATCCGTCTCTTAGTTATGTTGGCGACTTGATCTATAAACTGTACGGCATGAAGATTTTAAATATCAGTGATATTATATCACTCCACTAATATTATTGAGGTAATTGAAATTTTTGTCACAGTTGGTGATTTTGTTTGTATAAATATTTCAAATTTTTTCACATAATTAAAACAATTCAATATTTCAAATATACCTATCAATTTCTCGAAATTTTTACTCTCAATTGTACATATTGAAATACACATAAACTTATCCTCGCTTCAACAATCATAATTTCCAAAATTCTAACTATCTCAAGTTTTAAAATACAAATTTCTAAAAGCTGCTCTGTCTTCCGAGTCATGATCCTGTCATCACGAGATTTTCTTATGCAAATATTTCATATCACATTTCAATTGTTGGCGTCTCTCAAAACGAAAGTTGAATTACAAAGCTTTGTCTGCTCTTTAAAACTCCTAGTTATCGACAATGTGAAGTGTAAATCATTGTAGTTATGTTGCTTTTACCCTTGGGGATTTCGAGTTGAACTTTTGGTGAATAAAACGACGAAATAATGGCGTGCAGTAAATACGACTACGAGCTTGGGTATGAAGACAATCGCTTCGAGATTGTTGTCAGTCAAAGATTTCACTGCCCCATTTGTTTCCTGGTTCTTAAAGATCCCGTTATGTGCAAGAACGAACACTACTATTGTTCTTCATGTATGAAAAAGCATTTGGAAAACTCCTCGTTCTGTCCGACGTGTCTTGAACACCTCAGTGTTGACACACTAAGACCAGCTTCAAGGATTGTCAATGATTATATATCTGAGCTGAATATTCATTGTGATTTCTACCCCAGAGGATGCCCTGAAATGGTTCAAGTTGAAAATCTCAAACGTCACGTTGCAAGTTGTGGATTCTCTCCTGTGCAATGTTCGAATGATGGATGTAATGTTCTCGTGAATGCCAGCGACAAGCTTCACCATGAAACTGAAGTATGTGATTTTAGAAATCTGAAATGTCATGACTGTGGTCAAGTCAAGAATGAAGTGAAAGAAATGAAAGATCAAATAAAGAATGAAATGAAAGGAATGAAAGAGGAGATGAAAAATGAAATAAAAGGTGAAGTCAAAGGAATGAAAGATGAAATAAAGAATGAAATGGAAATAATGAATGAGGGAATGAAAAATGAAATAAAGGATGAAATGAAAGGAATGAAAAATGAAATAAAGGATGAAATGAAAGGAATGAAAGAAGGAATGAAAGAAATGATCGATCAAGTATTAGTGCATCAAGATCAGATGCAAGATAAAATATCGAAAGAAGTGAAAGAGGAAGTAAAAAATCAGATGAAGAATGAAATGAAAGGAATGAAAGAGGAAATAAAAAATGAAATGAAAGGAATGAAAGAGGAAATGAAAAATGAGATGAAAGGAATGAAAGAGGAAATGAAAGGTGAAATGAAAGAAATAGTTATGAATGTAGTGCGAGATGTAATGGCGGGAATAATAAGTCTCGAAGTTGAAATGAAAAATTCAAATCAAAGTTCACAAGCGACATGTTCTTCAGATGCAAAAGAAAATATCTTTGTAGTTGGAGGAGCACACAAGCAGGGTGTGAAAAAGGTGAAGAATAAATCCACAGAGTGTTTCAACTGGGCTGACCAAACCTGGACATTGCTGGATTCTGCAGTATTTGAAGGTCGTGCCAACGCTTGTTCATTCCTGTATCAAGGTCAAATGGTGGTCGCTGGAGGTTATGATAATAGGGGCAACTTGACAAACACAATGAAATGTTTGAATATTGCAGATCCAGCTACCACATGGAAAGATTTCGCTGTCAATCTCCCTGTCAAGTGTTCTCGTCATAAAGTTGTGAACCATAATGATCAGCTGTTCATATCTGGAGGATATATTCAACCCAGTGCCGGGAGACCGTCCAAACTTTCTGATGCAGTGTACGAGGTGCAGTTGGTTCCACCATATTCCAATAAGATCTTGACAAGATTACCACAACCAAGATCATCACATGGCATGGAAATGTTTGATCAGAAATTGTTCATTCTTGGAGGGATTGAAGGCAAGAAGACCACAGCCAGTGTGGTACAGTATGATCTCATCAAGAATGAATGTAAAGAAATGCCTCCATTGCCATATGCTGTGCGAGAAATGGCGACTGTTTTATGGCGGAATAACGTGCTTGTGATTGGTGGGGAGGATCACCGTTATGAACGTTTGAATAAAGTAGCAATGTATGACGTCATCACAGGCCATTCTCAAATGTTGCCATGTATGAAGAAGAAGCGATCTGGTTGTACAGCGGTCTTAACTGGCAATGTTGTAGTGGTTATGGGAGGATGGAATGACAATTCCGAATGTCTCAAGTCTGTGGAATGTTTTGATTTAGAACGTCAAGTTTGGCAAGACTTGCCTGACATGCTTGAATCAAGAGTACATTCCACTGCAGTGGTCAAATCAAACCATTGAACTCAAAAAGGACATTGACCATAGTTGTTCTTGAACCACAACTCTACTAATTAAGCTATCGAGTTAATTAACAGAGATTGGTGATGAAATGTATCCAATTTAAGTGCACGAAATATTTCCAGCAAGTGAATATATCATTAAAAACAAGTGTTGAAACATTTCATTAACTTAAATTGTTTAGAAACTTGCAACCAATCTCTGTTGACTAGATTTGTTCCCAGTCTCTTACTGCACGGCAGGAATGCATGTCTTTCTCAAAAAGTCAAGATACGACTTTAACAATATAGTCAATGAAATTCCAATTTCCAGAGGGTAAACGACTTATTTCGCTAGCTTATAAAATAGATAAGAAATATATGGAACCACGAACCAGCTATGGCACTCATTATCGTTTGGTATTTAAACAGTTAAACGTTTATAAGAAAAACTCTTACGAATTTGCCATATTAAAACTACTGATCATTGAATAATATATATTATGAACAAATTTTCGAGATATTTAATAGTACTGAAGTACATAAAAAGTAGGAAGATTTGCAAGTATAGCATCGTAATTTTATATAATCGTATAGTGTGAAGACCACAAGCTTATTAGTGTTTAAATTATTATGTGTATATCCTCGTAAATAAACGATTTACTTGCCTAATCAAAGACCCCTATAAACTACAATCTAGAACTGATAGTGATAGAGCAATCTAGTATAAATATAGAAAGTTTTAATATAAGTTTTCTAATCACTGTAGATCAATAATGGATAACGCTGCCGGCGTTTAGGCCCCAGTTACACGATACCGGATTCGCATCGGAGTGGCATCAAATTTTACTGCTTCGAGGTGAATTTGGCACTTAAAATTATGATAATATAACATAGTTAAACAAAAAGTTCAAATATGAAAAGTTGTAAAAGCAGACAAGACTGGAAAACAAATTAAATTGATGTCGCTCCGATACGAATCCGGTATCGTGTAACTGGGGCCTTAGACCGCGGTTATTGTTCAGCCAGAAATGAAAAGCAATCCAATTAGTGTAGCTTTCTAATTACGTCAGAGAGAACCTTTTAGACCGCGGTTATTGCTGCTCTTGTTGAGACAGTTGGGTCAGAAATGAAAAGCAATCCAATTAGTCTAGGTTTCTAATTACGTCTATCAACATTCCCTGTGGGAGAAAACCCGCAGTAACCTGAGAAAACCCACGAGTTTCGGTAGAGCGTTGACCGACTGTTTACATAAGTATCATGAGCGAGTTCACAGCGAGAATCGAACCCACGATCTCAGAGGTGAACTTACTCTGACGATTGCGCCACCTTAACCCAGCTAACATATCACTCCAGTCACATTATTGAGCTCATTAAAATGTTTGTTACAGTTGGTGATTTGCACCACAACCACTATTCTACTAAAGCTTTGTATATATCCGTATCAATCCATCTCTTAGTTATGTTGGCGACTTGATCTATAAACTACACAACTTGAAGATTATTCCCTTCACTTTAAATATCAGTGATATTATATCACTCCAGTAATATTATACAGGTCATTGAAATTTTTGTCACAGTTGGTGATTTTGTTTGTTTAAATATTTCAATTTTTTTCACATAATTAAAACAACTGAATATTTCAAATATACGTATAAATGTCTCGAGATTTTACTACCAATTGTACATATTCAAATACACATAAACTTATCCTCGCTTCCACAATCATAAATTCCAAAATTTTATCTCTCTCCAGTTTTAAAATACAAATTTCTAAAAGCTGCTCCGTCTTCCGGGTCATGACCCTGTCATCACGAGATTTTCGCATGCAAATATTCAATATCACATTGTGGCGTCTCGCAAAACGAAAGTTGAATTACAAAGCTTTGTCTGCTCTTTAAAACTCCTAGTTTTCGACAATGTGAAGTATAAATCAATATAGTTATGTTGCTTTTACCCTTGGGAATTTTGAGTTGAACGTTTGGTGAATAAAACGACGAAATAATGGCGTGCAGTAAATACGATTACGAGCTTGGGTATGAAGACAATCGCTTCGAGTTTGTTGTCAGTCAAAGATTTCACTGCCCCATTTGTTTCCTGGTTCTTAAAGATCCCGTTATGTGCAAGAACGAACACTACTATTGTTCTTCATGTATGAAAAAGCATTTGGAAAACTCCTCGTTCTGTCCAACGTGTCTTGAATACCTCAGTGTTGACACACTCAGACCAGCTCCGAGGATTGTCAATGATTATATATCTGAGCTGAATATTCATTGTGATTTCTACCCCAGAGGATGCCTTGAAATGGTTCAAGTTGAAAATCTCAAACGTCACGTTGCAAGTTGTGGATTCTCTCCCGTGCAATGTTCGAATGATGGATGTAATGTTCTCGTGAATGCCAGCGACAAGCTTCACCATGAAACTGAAGTATGTGATTTTAGAAATCTGAAATGTCATGACTGTGGTCAAGTCAAGCACGAAGTGAAAGAAATGAAAGATCAAATAAAGAATGAAATGAAAGGAATGAAAGAAGGAATGAAAGAAATGATTGATCAAGTATTAGTGCATCAAGATCAGATGCAAGATAAAATATCGAAAGAAGTAAAAGAGGAAGTAAAAAATCAGATGAAGAATGAAATGAAAGGAATGATTGAAAATGAAATGAAAGGAATGAAAAATGAAATGAAAAATGAAATGAAAGGAATGAAAGAGGAAATAAAAGGTGAAATGAAAGAAATAGTTATGAATGCAGTGCGAGATTGCAATGGCGGGAATAAAAGTTCTGGAACTGGAAAAGAAAAATTCAACACAAAGATCACAAGCGACATGTTGTTTAGATGCAAGAGAAAATATCTTTGTAGTTGGAGGAGAACACAAGCAGGGTGGGAGATGGCTGAAGAATAAATCCACAGAGTGTTTCAACTGGGCTGACCAAACCTGGACATTGCTGGATTCTGCTGTATTTGAAGGTCGAACATACTCTTGTTCTTTCCTGCATCAAGGTCAAATGGTAGTCGCTGGAGGTTATGATAATGATAATAACAAAACAAACACAATGAAATGTTTGAATATCGCAGATCCAGCAGCCACATGGAAAGATTTCGCTGTCAATCTTCCTGTCAAGTGCTGTAGACATAAAGTTGTCAACCATAATGAACAGCTGTTCATGTCTGGAGGATATGTTATACCCAGTGCCATGGAACCGGACAAACGTTCTGATGCAGTGTATGAGGTGCAGTTGGTTCCACCATATTCCAGTAAGATCTTGACAAGATTACCACAGCCAAAATCTTATCATGGCATGGAAATGTTTGATCAGAAATTGTTTATTCTTGGAGGGTATGATGGCAAGAACATCACAGCCAGTGTGGTACAGTATGATCTCATCAAGAATGAATGTAAAGAAATGCCTCCATTGCCATATGCTGTGCAAGAAATGGCGACTGTTTTATGGCGGAATAACGTGCTTGTGATTGGTGGGTTGGATCAGCATTATCAATGTTTGAATAAAGTAGCAATGTATGACGTCATCACAGGACGTTCTCAAATGTTGCCATGTATGAAGCAGAAGCGAAATGGTTGTACAGCGGTCTTAACTGGCAATGTTGTAGTGGTTATGGGAGGATGGAATGAGAATGGCAAAGATTTCAAGTCAGTGGAATGTTTTGATTTGGAACGTCAAGTTTGGAAAGACTTGCCTGACATGCTTGAACCAAGAGCATTGGCCACTGCAGTGATCAAACCAAACCATGGAACACAAAAAGGACATTGACCATAGTTGTTCTTGAACCACAACTCTACTAATTAAGCTATCAAGTTAATTAACAGAGATTGGTGATGAATTGTATCCAATTTAAGTGCACGAAATATTTCCAGCAAGTGAATATATCATTAAAAACAAGTGTTGAAACATTTCATTCACTTAAATTGGTTAGAAACTTGCAACCAATCTCTGTTGGCTAGATTTGTTCCCAGTCTCTTACTGCATGGCGAGAATGCATGTCTTTCTCAAAAGGTCAAGATACGACTTTAACAATATAGTCAATGAAATTCCAATTTCCAGAGGGTAAACGACTTATTTCGCTAGCTTATAAAATAGATAAGAAATATATGCAACAACGAGCCAGCTATGGCACTCATTATCGTTTGATAAACAGTTAAATGTTTATAAGAAAAACTCTTACGAATTTGCCATATTAAAACTACTGATCATTGAATAATATGTATTATGAACAAATTTTCGAGATATTTAATAGTACTATAGTACATAAAAAGTAGGAAGATTTGCAAGTATAGTATCCTAATTTTATATAATCGTATAGTGTGAAGACCACAAGCTTATTAGTGTTTTAGATTATTATGTAAATAAAAGATTTACTTGCTTAATCAAAGAACCCTATAACTACAATCTAGAACTGATATAGTGATAGAGCAATCTAGTATAAATATAGAAAGTTTTAATATAAGTTTTCTCATAAACTAGATTAATAATGGATAGCGCTGCCGGCGTTTCTAGAGAGAACCTTTTAGGCCTCAGTTACACGATACCAGATTCGCATCGGAGCGACATCAAATTTTGCTGCTTCGCGATGAATTTGGCACTTAAAATTATGATAATATAACATAGTTAAACACATACTTCAAATACGAAAAGTTGTAAGAGTAGACAAGACTGGAAAACACCTTAGATTGATGTCGCTCCGATACGAATCCGGTATCGTGTAACTGGAGCCTTAGACCGCGGTTATTGTTCAGCCAGAAATGAAAAGCAATCCAATTAGTGTAGCTTTCTAATTACGTCAGAGAGAACCTTTTAGACCGCGGTTATTGCTGCTCTTGTTGAGACAGTTGAGTCAGAAATGAAGAGCAATCCAATTAGTCTAGGTTTCTAATTACGTCTATCAACATTCCCTGTGGGAGAAAACCCGCAGTAACCTGAGAAAACCCACGACTTTCGGTAGAGCGTTGACCGACTGTTTACATAAGTATCATGAGCGAGTTCACAGCGAGAATCGAACCCACGATCTCAGAGGTAAACTTGCTGTGACGATTGCGCCACCTTAACCCAGCTAAGATATCACTCCAGTAATATTATTGAGCTCATAGAAATGTTTGTCACAGTTAGTGATTTGCACCACAACCACTATACTACAAAAGCTTTGTATATATCCGTATCAATCCGTCTCTTAGTTATGTTGGCGACTTCATCTATATAAACTACACGGCTTCAAGATTATTCCCGTCACCCAGCTAAGATATCACTCCAGTAATATTATTAAGCTCATTGAAATGTTTGTTACAGTTAGTGATTTGCACCACAACCGCTATTCTACTAAAGCTTTGTATATATCCGTATCAATCCGTCTCTTAGTTATGTTGGCGACTTGATCTATATACTACACGACTTTAAGATTATTCCCGTCACCCAGCTAAGATACCACTCCAGTAACATTATTAAGCTCATAGAAATGTTTGTCACAGTTAGTGATTTGCACCACAACCGCTATTCTACTAAAGCTTTGTATATATCCATATCAATCCGTCTCTTAGTTATGTTGGCGACTTGATCTATAAACTACACGGCTTCAAGATTATTCCCTTCACTTTAAATATCAGTGATATTATATCACTCCAGTAATATTATAGAGGTCATTGAAATTTTTGTCACAGTTGGTGATTTTGTTTGTTTAAATATTTCAATTTTTTTCACATAATTAAAACAACTCAATATTTCAAATATACGCATCAATTTCTCGAAATTTTAACCACCAATTATACTTATTCAAATACACATAAAACTTATCCTCGTTTCCACAATCATAAATTCCAAAATTCTAACTATCTGAAGTTTTAAAATACAAATTTCTAAAAGCTGCTCCGTCTTCCGGGTCATGACCCTGTCATCACGAGATTTTCTCATGCAAATATTCAATATCACATTGTGGCGTCTCGCAAAACGAAAGTTGAATTACAAAGCTTTGTCTGCTGTTTAAAACTCCTAGTTTTCGACAATGTGAAGTGTAAATCAATATAGTTATGTTGCTTTTACCCTTGGGAATTTTAAGTTGAACGTTTGGTGAATAAAACGACGAAATAATGGCGTGCAGTAAATACGACTACGAGGTTGGGTATGAAGACAATCGCTTCGAGTTTGTTGTCAGTCAAAGATTTCACTGCCCCATTTGTTTCCTGGTTCTTAAAGATCCCGTTATGTGCAAGAACGAACACTACTATTGTTCTTCATGTATGAAAAAGCATTTGGAAAACTCCTCGTTCTGTCCGACGTGTCTTGAACACCTCAGTGTTGACACACTAAGGCCAGCTTCGAGGATTGTCAATGATTATATATCTGAGCTGAATATTCATTGTGATTTCTACCCCAGAGGATGCCCTGAAATGGTTCAAGTTGAAAATCTCAAACGTCACGTTGCAAGTTGTGGATTCTCTCCCGTGCAATGTTCGAATGATGGATGTAATGTTCTCGTGAATGCCAGCGACAAGCTTCACCATGAAACTGAAGTTTGTGATTTTAGAAAAATGATATGTCATGACTGTGGTCAAGTCAAGAATGAAGTGAAGGAAATGAAAGATGAAATGAAAGATGAAATGAAAGGAATGAAAGGTGAAATAAAGAATGAAATGCAAGGAATGAAAGGTGAAATAAAGAATGAAATGCAAGGAATGAAAGGTGAAATAAAGAATGAAATGGAAATAATGAATGAGGGAATGAAAAATGAAATAAAGGATGAAATGAAAGGAATGAAAGAAGAAATGAAAGAAATTATCGATCAAGTATTAGTGCATCAAGATCAGATGCAAGATAAAATATCGAAAGAAGTAAAAGAGGAAGTAAAAGATCAGATGAAGAATGAAATGAAAGGATTGATTGAAAATGAAATGAAAGGAATGAAAGAGGAATTGAAAAATGAAATTATAGGAATGAAAGAGGAAACAAAAAAGGAAATGAAGAATGGAATGAAAGGAATGAAAGAGGGGATAAAAAATGAGATGAAAGAAATAGTTATGAATGCAGTGCGAGATGCAGTGGCGGGAATAAAAGATCTCGAAGTTGAAAAGAAAAATTCAACACAAAGTTCACAAGCGACATGTTCTTCAGATGCAAGTGAAAATATCTTTGTAGTTGGAGGACACAAGCATGGTTGGAGATATGTGGAAAATAAATCCACAGAGTGTTTCAACTGGGCTGACCAAACCTGGACATTGCTGGATTCTGCAGTAATTGAAGGTCGTTTTTACTCTTGTTCTTTCCTGCATCAAGGTCAAATGGTAGTCGCTGGAGGTTATGATGATGATAACAACATGACAAACACAATGAAATGTTTGAATATCGCAGATCCAGCAGCCACATGGAAAGATTTCGCTGTCAATCTTCCTGTCAAGTGCTACGGTCATAAAGTCGTCAGCCATAATGATCAGCTGTTTATGTCTGGAGGATATGTTCAACCCAGTGCTGGGGGACCGTCCAAACTTTCTGATGCAGTGTATGAGGTGCAGTTGGTTCCACCATATTCCAGTAAGATGTTGACAAGATTACCACAATCAAGATCTCAGCATGGCATGGAAATGTTTGATCAGAAATTGTTCATTCTTGGAGGGTATGATGGCAAGAACATCACAGCCAGTGTGGTACAGTATGATCTCATCAAGAATGAATGTAAAGAAATGCCTCCATTGCCATATGCTGTGCAAGAAATGGCGACTGTTTTATGGCGGAATAACGTGCTTGTGATTGGTGGGTTGGATCACGATTATGAACGTTTGAATAACGTAGCAATGTATGACGTCATCACAGGACGTTCTCAAATGTTGCTATGTATGAAGAGGAGGCGATATGGTTGTACAGCGGTCTTAACTGGCAATGTTGTAGTGGTTATGGGAGGAAGGAATGGGGTGAACGCTGATCTGAAGTCAGTGGAATGTTTTGATTTAGAACGTCAAGTTTGGCAAGACTTGCCTGACATGCTTGAACCAAGAGTACATTCCACTGCAGTGGTCAAATCAAACCATTGAACTCAAAAAGGACATTGACCATAGTTGTTCTTGAACCACAACTCTACTAATTAAGCTATCAAGTTAATTAACAGAGATTGTTGATGAATTGTATCCAATTTAAGTGCACGAAATATTTCCAGCAAGTGAATATATCATTAACAACAAGTGTTGAAACATTTCATTCACTTAAATTGGTTAGAAACGTGCAACCAATCTCTGGTGGCTAGATTTGTTTCCAATCTCTTACTGCACGGCAAGAATGCATGTCTTTCTCAAAAGGTCAAGTAATTCCAATTTCCAGAGAGTAAACGACTTATTTCGCTAGCTTATAAAATAGATAAGAAATATATGCAACCACGAGCCTGCCATGGCACTCATTATCGTTTGATAAACAGTTAAACATTTATAAGAAAAACTCTTACGAATTTGCCATATTAAAACTACTGATCATTGAATAATGTGTATTAGGAACAAATTTTCGAGATATTTAATAGTACTGTAATACATAAAAAGTAGGAAGATTTGCAAGTATAGTATCGTAATTTTATATAATCGTATAGTGTGAAGACGAGAAGCTTATTAGTGTTTTAGATTATTATGTGTATATCCTCGTAAATAAAAGATTTACTTGAATCAAAGACCACTAGAAACTACAATCTAGAACTAATATAGTGATAGACCAATCTAGTATAAATATAGAAAGTTTTAATATAAGTTTTTTCTCATCAATGTAGATCAATAATGGATAACGCTGCCGGCGTCTCTAGAGAGAACCTTTTAGGCCCCAGTTACACGATACCGGATTCGCATCGGAGCGACATCAAATTTTACTGCTTCGAGGTGAATTTGGCACTTAAAATTATGATAATATAACATAGTTAAACAAAAGGTTTAAATATGAAAAGTTGTAAGAGCAGACAAGACTGGAAAACACCTTAAATTGATGTCGCTCCGATACGAATCCGGTATCGTGCAACTGGGGCCTTAGACCGCGGTTATTGTTCAGCCAGAAATGAAAAGCAATCCAATTAGTGTAGCTTTCTAATTACGTCAGAGAGAACCTTTTAGACCGCGGTTATTGTTGAGCCAGAAATGAAGAGCAATCCAATTAGTCCAGGTTTCTAATTACGTTTATCAACATTCCCTGTGGGAGAAACCCGCAGTAACCTGAGAAAACCCACGACTTTCGGTAGAGCGTTTACCGACTGTTTACATAAGTATCATGAGCGAGTTCACAGCGAGAATCGAACCCACAATCTCAGAGGTGAACTTGCTCTGACGATTGCGCCACCTTCACCCAGCTAAGATATCACTCCAGTAACATTATAGAGGTCATTAAAATGTTTGTCACAGTTAGTGATTTGCACCACAAGCGCTATTCTACTAAAGCTTTGTATATATCCGTATCAATCCGTCTCTTAGTTATGTTGGCGACTGAATCTATAAACTACACGGCTTCAAGATTATTCCCTTCACCCAGCTAAGATATCACTCCAGTAACATTATAGAGGTCATTAAAATGTTTGTCACAGTTAGTGATTTGCACCACAACCGCTGTTCTACTAAAGCTTTGTATATATCCGTATCAATCCGTCTCTTAGTTATGTTGGCGACTTGATCTATAAACTGTACGGCATGAAGATTTTAAATATCAGTGATATTATATCACTCCACTAATATTATTGAGGTAATTGAAATTTTTGTCACAGTTGGTGATTTTGTTTGTATAAATATTTCAAATTTTTTCACATAATTAAAACAATTCAATATTTCAAATATACCTATCAATTTCTCGAAATTTTTACTCTCAATTGTACATATTGAAATACACATAAACTTATCCTCGCTTCAACAATCATAATTTCCAAAATTCTAACTATCTCAAGTTTTAAAATACAAATTTCTAAAAGCTGCTCTGTCTTCCGAGTCATGATCCTGTCATCACGAGATTTTCTTATGCAAATATTTCATATCACATTTCAATTGTTGGCGTCTCTCAAAACGAAAGTTGAATTACAAAGCTTTGTCTGCTCTTTAAAACTCCTAGTTATCGACAATGTGAAGTGTAAATCATTGTAGTTATGTTGCTTTTACCCTTGGGGATTTCGAGTTGAACTTTTGGTGAATAAAACGACGAAATAATGGCGTGCAGTAAATACGACTACGAGCTTGGGTATGAAGACAATCGCTTCGAGATTGTTGTCAGTCAAAGATTTCACTGCCCCATTTGTTTCCTGGTTCTTAAAGATCCCGTTATGTGCAAGAACGAACACTACTATTGTTCTTCATGTATGAAAAAGCATTTGGAAAACTCCTCGTTCTGTCCAACGTGTCTTGAACACCTCAGTGTTGACACACTCAGACCAGCTCCGAGGATTGTCAATGATTATATATCTGAGCTGAATATTCATTGTGATTTCTACCCCAGAGGATGCCTTGAAATGGTTCAAGTTGAAAATCTCAAACGTCACGTTGCAAGTTGTGGATTCTCTCCCGTGCAATGTTCGAATGATGGATGTAATGTTCTCGTGAATGCCAGCGACAAGCTTCACCATGAAACTGAAGTATGTGATTTTAGAAATCTGAAATGTCATGACTGTGGTCAAGTCAAGCACGAAGTGAAAGAAATGAAAGATCAAATAAAGAATGAAATGAAAGGAATGAAAGAAGGAATGAAAGAAATGATTGATCAAGTATTAGTGCATCAAGATCA